ACCGTTAATTATCGCCACCCCGTGCGGGCCAACTAATGAGTTAGGAAGGCGTGCGCGTCTTAGCCGCCGATCGATCCGGCGCCGTCTTGAAGAGACGCTCCTTTGGAAACCGCAAACCGGTGAAATGAAACAATTTTCCTTCCTGCGCGTCTAATTAATTTGTCGAAATCCGAGTGCGGAAAGAGCGATCATCTGTCAGTGCTTTCAGTCAAGACTGCGCCTCTAATGTGAGCGTGCGTGTGCAATCGCGGCTTTTACGCAAGAGCAGCGAAGAGAAATACATATTATAGCTGCCTTAAGACTTTCAAAGCTCTTGCATTTCAATCAAAAGTTATTTTGATCACATTGTTTTAATTAGCCTGTACAAAACAAGTCTTCAGATTAAGCTCAAGTTTTGAAAACACTAAATTTAGAAGAAAAAAAATTAGCCACTGTAGAAATTTGGCGTGAAATTTAAAGTTTAAATATGTTCAAAGTCAATTTTCATGAATGTATAGGCTCGTGTTTTTAGTCGATCAACTTTTTATCTCCATCGCTCGGAACGTTACGGAAATGCATTTTCTGCATGAATCAAGTGATTTTATTATGATTGGCACCTATTTAAAACCGACTATTTCTTCAATTTCCGACTAAAGCGACTAAAACAGACTAAAATGACAGACTTTTTCAACTTTTTAAGCAAAAATAGGTTTTTCCAGACTTTGAAACAAAATTTCCGCAAAATTTTGCAAAAAAAAAAAATAATTTGAAAAGTTAAAAAATTATTTATTTAAAAAACTTTTATCAAACAGATTTTTATTTCAAGCGACTGAAAGTAGAACTAAATAAAGCTTTTTTTCATCTTCAATTACAAAAAAGGAATATAATATGTGATGGATGAAAAATTCATAATTTTTCAATAGTGGAAAAAATGTTTTTGAGCATTTTTAGAACATCGTAATTAAAATTTTACGACAAAATATAAATTTTGTTCCCAAATATCAAACAAAACACGCATTTAATTAAATTACCATCTTCAGCTATCTTCAAAATATATATTTCAACAAATATTTACAAAAATTCAACGGTTTCAGCAATTGTATCCTTTCTATATAACGTATCATAAAATCACAAAGTTCTGCATAATTGCTAGCTAGGTAATTAAAAAATGATGAAAAATGGGTGATAAAATATTATTTATGCTTCCAAAAATGGAGATTTATTAATGCAATAAAAAAAATCGATTAAAATAATATTTTTCATGTATTTTAAGGCTCAAAATATCTGATTTAAAAAATCGACTAAAACCGACTATTTTGGCAAAAACCAGCTAAAAAGGCGACTAAATTTCTGTAAAATCAACTAAAAATAGTCGACTAAAATGCACGAGCCTTTACATAATTAAAAGTAGAAGGTGAAGGAATTTTTAAATATGATTTTTTTATATATTTTAAAATATGAATTAATTATATACATGTTTGAATTTTGAAATATCAAAACACTTTAAATTGATTTCCGCGGTCAGATGTGACCCCAAAATAGGAGTTTAAAAGACGTAGAAGATCTTTTCTTTTTAATTAAGAATAAAAAAAAAAAAAATTTCTCTAATGGATTCAATTAAACAAAGTTTCTTTTTTTAAGAATTGCCAATCTTTGGAAATAAAAAAATCCAAAATAAACTTCCAATGTTATATTAATTTTGACGTGTCAATGAAAAAAAATTCAACAATTTTCATCCAATTCAGGCCAAGCACTGTATAATAATAAATTATCTGAATGTTGCTCGGAATAAACGAGTTGTCGATTTGGCACGCTGTCAATGTCAATGCTTGAAAAAGTATTACGTAAGCGTTTTCATTTTCAACGAGAGCGAATGAGTCGACTGAATCTAAAAGGAAAAGCCTCTCGACAGACCCCGACGCTCTTGAGCTCAAGAGCAAACTTCCATCCGAGGTGTCACGCGTAAGAAGGAAAAATAGGCGCACACACCTCTAATCGTCCGCCTGCAATTACTTGTCGTCTTTACGACCCCCTCACATGTATATGAAGGAGAAGCAGAAAGTAGTGTCGCGTGCGGCTTTAATTAAGCAAGCGAGTCGACTGCACGCGAATTAAAATTCGGCTCGGAATTTGTCAAACAAATGCAGAGTAATGGCGGTCTGGAGAAATGCTTTTTACGAGAGGAGGGGGCGACGCACGAGATGGTCGCGTATTATTCGGCCCGGGGGCTTTCATGCATACAAAAAGCGGCAGCTCGCTCTCTCTAATAATGCCAGTTGTTCCAGCAGCAGTAGTTACACTGCTAAATTAATCATAAAACACCATCCAGTGCATTATTAAGCAGCGAGTAGCGGTGCCGCTGCATGTCTCCTCGCCTCGGGCCATTTCCTCTCACTCCGCCCTGCAAAGCCACCCCGCCCGCCCCCCGGTGCGATGTGCACCTTTTGCTTTCCAAACTTTGAATATTATTATCAAGGCCCGGCTGGCCGGATTTTATTGCCGCCGTGCCGCCTGCTGATGTAGCATATCCGCTTTCACTCGGACCACTGCTTTTTCGACCCGACTACTACTTTAATCTGATCAACCACGAGAGCGGCTTGTAATTAAGTTGAGTGAGTTTGTGGACGCGCAAGGTTTTATTGCTAGGCCGAAATTGAGTCATTTTTAGGAACGGCCAAGAACAATATCTCTGTTGATTATAATTTATTTTTGATACATAAAAGGCAAAACTTCATGTTTTGAAAGATAAAATTGTAACATTAAGTCACTGCAAGATATAATTTTTCATTATCGATGAAATAATGTAGGAAATAATATGAAAAAACCAAAACATCGACACCTTTAATTTTTTTAAAAAGTCTCCTATTAAAAAGGTTGTCAAAAGGTTGAATTTAAAATTAAAAACAGCACATTTTTTGGTAAAAGTAAAACACAAAAACTAGAAGTTTTACTCTACAAAAAAATCTAAATTGAAAAATTAATTAAAAATAAATTATAATATAATATTTATTAATTATTCTAAAAATTATAAAATAAGAGAAGTTAAAATTTTAAATGTTTAATATTTACATGTTTATTAGAGATTTAATTATAACTTACTGCACTAGATAATTAATATTTGCACTTAGGAAGCTGCTTTGAACGTTCGGCAAAATTCTTGCTAGTGGTGGTGCCGTTCTTGTTTAACATTTCCCTTTTTTAAACTATAATTGTTTAAAAATAATTGATAATAAACAAATTTACGGTGAAAATTTCACGAATAAAGAACATTAATAATAATAATAATCATACTAATGGTCGTTTGATCCACAATATTATTTTTTAACAAACAAATACGAGAGCGGCTTGTAAGTAAGTTGAGAGAGAGTTTTTAGACGCAAGGTTTTATTACTTGGTCAAAATTTAGTCATTTTTATGAATGACAAAGAACAGTATCATGCTATTAATCTGAATCTTTCTTTTAATACTGAGGCTAAATTCTTGGGGAGATACAAGATCACTATAGCTTGAAAAAGTATATTTCATTTTTTCAAAACAACGCAATGATAGAATTAATAGAATAAGATATGAATTACGAATAGTAATTAGTTGAATCCCGGGAGTTGACGTAGTAATAAAAGTTTTTTCTGATGAATGAAAATGGTCACTGCTAGTAAATTTATAGCAAAATAAGATTTATTAAAATTATTTTTAACATAATATCGATTTAGTGCAAATCAAATAATGTAATATTCAAATAACTGTTATTGCATAAAATAATTAAAAATAAGAAATAAATTGTAAATAATTTTAATAAAAGATAAATTATTGAATTAATTTCAATAATGTTTAACAGAAAAAAAATCTTCAATTTTAAATTGTTAAATGAAAAATTAAATATTTTATTATTTAACCTGCTGGAGACATAAGACTCAAAATTAAATTCCCGGCTCGAATTTATTTGAGCAACACCCGCAGACACGGCGGTGCGTAATTTTGATAAAGCGTCCCCATTCACATTCATTTCGCCGTGTTAAACGACTAAAGGGGAGAAAGAGCGACTGCATTACGCATCCGTGAGCGGAATGAGAGGGCCCGTGTAAAATAGTAGTGGTTATGCAACGTGCCTCGCAGTCTTGTCCGACATGTTGCCTAGCGCAGCTTTTTCACAATAAATCTCCGAGGCAAATTATTTCGTCTCGCATTTTAAATCCCTCAGTGGGAAATAAATTTAAATTTGGACAGGTAGGAATTCGGTCCGTTTGGGAATGACCCTTTGCAGGGGTCGTGGCTTTCTCGGTCCGAAGGGACGGAAACGCGGCTCGGTGCATCCAGACAATTCTTTCTTAAAACGCTGTTGGGATTGATGACGCAAAAAAAGCGCTTTTTTGGGGACGAAGTCTCTCTGATAACTGAAAGGAAACAGCGGAAAACTAATCGGTCAACTGCGGTCCTGTCAGATGAGGCCGCTCGCTAATGGCCTTAGCAATTTATTTCGCCGCCAGAAATTACATACAGCGGCTCTCATTTCTTGCGCTGTTTTTTTTATTTGCATCCGGAGGGAAATGCGTCTCGGCGAGGAAAAAAAGAGGCGCCACTGTTGAAAATATAGCAGCATATGCCGGGGAGGGAAAAATAACTGCTGGTTCGGAAATGGCCGCGAGCACTTTGATGACACGATGAAATTCATAATTGCGCTTCAACATAAGCAAGTTTTTTTTTTATAAAACGCGAGGGTGATTAATTTTTAATAAGCAAAGGCAGATCTGCTTTTGATTTATTTGGCTGGAAACGGAAAATCTAATTGGCTCTTTCTGACGAGTTCATAAATTTTCTCTTTATTTTGTTAATGAAATAAAAGTTGGTTGATAATTTTTCTCCGAATTTTCCGATTCCAAGATCAACGGCACTCGTAAAGCATCTCATTTCATTACTCAATTATTTCAATTAACTCCCGAGGAAAAACAAAATTCGTATTTTGTTCGCTTCGTTGCGCAAGAAACTTTTCCTTTCCGAAATGTTCGGAGAAGAGTGGCACTTACCTCAGCAGGTGGTTCGGCATGGACGATGCAGACTAATTGGGCCTCGAACCCTTCGCCGGAATGGACCCAATTACGCTCCACCTCGATCTCAGGAGCGTCTGTAACATGGAAAGGGACGGGGTTAGAGCAATGTGATTTCTCATTCCGAAGAAATGTACAGAACCAGGGGTGTGACGTAAAGAGAGAGAGAAAAAAAATACACAAATTGCTTCACAAACGATGAAAAATGATTCCGCGAATGGAAAAATATCGTCTTTCGGGAGAGAGAAATGATCGAATTTCAACGAGAGCCCAAATAAGTGTTTGTTCTCTTAAAAAAAATGTGAAAAATAACGTGGAACTGGTTCGTTGATTTACAGAACAATAAATTAATTTGCGAGCGAGAGAGAGGAAGCCACGGGGGAACAATAAATCGCGGCGGGCTTTAATCCGCACGTTCCGATCTCGCAGCAAGTTAATTAGCTCTCGCCCGCCATAATTCTTTATGGAAGTTTAAATATTGTAATTGCCAAGAGCACACACACACGAATATCCAGAGCACGACGGAACTAACTAACTGCGTAATCCAGCATGCACGCGTATATAATCTGGGCGTGGGCGCCGCCAAAGAAATAATTCATACGAGAGAACACGTGTGGGTTCTCTGCGCGAACGGGCGTATAATAAAAGACAAATGATTGCAGGCAGAACAATAAATTTAATCCCGCCAGCAGCCTCCTCTCTCTTGTATTCTTTTTGACGCGGTAATGCCCTGGCAAAATAACTAAAAAAAATAGCTCTCGGTTTTGTCACACGCAGGGACATGCACGGGTTTTGCATGCAGGCTGCTGCTCTCAGCTTTATCTGGCTCGGGGCCCTGATCAACTGTTGCTGATTACCCGCTCCTCCCTGGCTGCAGATTAGTCGACCGCGTTTGAGCTTCATAACTTTCAACTCTTCAAAACGCGCGCGCGAGAGAGAAGCGGAGACGAATTTCCCTGTTGCTTGCTGATTAGGGTTTTGTTTTTCAAATTGCGGCGTTTATCTTGGGGCAAAACTTTCACGAACAGGATTTTCATTTAAAAAGTTTCACCGCAAGAGTGGAAGATAAACAGATAGTAGACATTTTTCATTAAAAAAAAACTACTCGTAAGAAGGAAAGTTTCAGTAATTTTTGTTTAACAATGTTAAAAAAAATTGCGAATGATTTACCATGAAACACATTTTTCGGAGCACAAAACACAAAAACGCTGTAACTCGACGATTAAAGTGTAAGGAAGCAGACAATCAGCTGTAGGAAAAACGCCCACTAACAGCCAAAATGATAAGAAAAACCGCCTAAATAAACCGGTAAAAAACAGCCAATGCATATGCAGTAGTGCCAACCCAAAAAAATATAGTCTGGATTAAACAATTTACTATAAAAATTAGCGATAAATTTCATTATGTAGGAATATTTTACATTCAATTTCCGGAATGAATGCGTCCCATTAATGGAAAATTATTGTAAGCTGCTCTATTCAAAGATCCGACAATGCTCTCTTTAGATATTAAATTTAAAAGTTGGCTGATCGTTCGAGCTATTATATAGTTCAATATAAAATTTCCATCTCCATGCATTTTCTATTCTTATGCACTTCAATTGAAATGGAAACCTCTCGAAGTCCCGACTAATTAGTTCCAACTGCAGTAATTAGACTGCATATTAAACTTCCGACCTCTTCATATTAAACTCGATTCACAAATGCGCAAAATTGAGTCAAACTCCTCTCGTTTGCCTTGGCGAGTAAGATTTCTTTCACTTCTCTCGTTGCTCGCTTTGATGAAAGATTAATTTCCTGCTCGAAAAGTTGCACAAGTTTTAATGATCAGTCATATTTCCGTCACAATAGTGGATTATTCACGCTCGGCTGCGCTGAAATTCGCAATCGCGAAGCAGCCCTTTCATCATTTTAATATTCCCGGGGCGAAAATTCTGCGCGTCTTTTGTGCATGTTATGAAGTAGCGCGGGCGGGCATATCATACGAATCGATTCGCGCGTGCACGAGTTCGCCGGTGACACACACAAAGTAGACACGAGTGTGTTAGGTGCGCGCATACTCAGGGTTTAATATATAATTCTTATTGCCAAAGGCGGCCGTAAAGAAGCGGGATTTATATACCTGAGGTGTCTTATCATATATTCATGAAGACCTCAAAGCCGAGTGCAAACTTCGCCTCTCTTGTATTACAAATGCAAAAAGAAGCAAGCAAACTTCTTGATATTCGCCCGGCACGAGCAGCAGAAATAGTATTATACGCGGCCAAACAATAATAAGCTCGGGCCAAAATCCAATCTACTCGTGCTCTCACTCGCGAAAAAGCCGCCTCTGTTTTGCGACTGGCTGGCTGGCGGTGCCATTTCGAGGCTCATCTCTGCCGAGGTGTTTACATTTCATTACTAGTAAGAGAGAGAGAAGGAGAATGTTGGCGAAAAAGTATCTCTTTCTCGTCTAAGAAAAGCAGAGCGAGTTTCTGCCGCTCGAGAAAATGCGCAAATTTGAGCGATGAGCGCCAAAAGACGCGACAATTTTCAGTGCTACTTCAAGAGATCAACAAATAATAGACAAGAGTAAACGAAAATAATCCGGCTGGCGAAATCCTTTAATTGAATTTTTACGTCAAAACTCTTGTGCAAAATTAAAGTAATTACATTTAATTCTAATTTTAGATTACACAGTGACAGTTTTTCTCATAAATAAGTGTCTGCCTAATAATTCCAAATGTTTATAAAATAAATTAATTTTTTTTCTATTTAATAGATCAGTTTTCATTGCTTTGAATGTGAATATTAACAGGCTCATTGAAATATTTTTTTGAATTTGCTGGTATTTGCAATATTTAAATCCAATTAATATTGTGTAAAATATTTTGATTTCGATTGGAAATTCAATAAAAGTGATAATTTATTACTATCACGAATTATTAAAAAAAAATCTAGTTTATTTTCAACTTTACGTTTGACAGAACAAGAGTGAAGAGAAAAAATTTCAGAGCAAAGATATTAACTACATTTTCATGGTCTGCTTATAATATAAAGCAGTGGATTTATAACTTAGCACTAGGAGTGCAGAAATTTTTCCATTTCTTTTCCACGGCCAATAAATTTCTTGCGTCTGGCGAGCTTTATATATATTTTTTCATCTCTAAAAGCTTCTCGCCTTTGTACCAGCACCACATACTCGTTTTTTCCATTAATCTCTGAAAGATGGAAGAAGAAAAAATGAGCGGCGAGGGTCCGGCGGTGCAACTGAAAAGTCCACCGAGTTTAGTATCAGCGCCGCTTTTTGTCGGCGGCTCCTTTCTCTCTCTCTCTCTTTGTTGCTTTCGGTGAAAAATGTTCATCTAGTGGCCGGCCGGGGCGAGCAAGCAAGGCGGATAATTTCTGGGAAATATGAAGTGGCGAGGTCGCAGCCAGGGCAGCCAAAACCAAGCAACACACACACATAAGCCGCCGCAGAGCAACGCGGTCGTCTCCAGAGAATTGCCGGTTGTTTCGGCGGCGAAAATGAGCTCGAGGGTGGCGCCGGTCCAATCAACTGAAGCCGCCACCGAGCAATATCCGAAGCAACAAAAGTGACAGCTGGCCAACGGTTATGGGCCGAAGACGGAATTTTCATCATTACACTAACCATTATTTTTTTTTAAAATAAAGTTCTTATTGAGCTTTAAAATTTTAACAATAAAAATTTACATAATATAATTGCTAAAGACAGGCAAATAAATTAAATTTAATTATTTTTAACTTTAGTTAAATAAATAAATAATATTTTACTTACAATTTAAACATAACATTATTTATAAGTTGAATTTTCCACAATTTTGTAAATTAAATCTAATTTTTTTATATTTAAAGTTTATAATTCTACAGTAGATTTTATTAAAATAAAATAAATGTAGTCTATTGTAGTAATTTTAGTATCAAAGCACAAAACACTGTAATACATCATCAAAATCGACAACTAGCTTAAAAATATTTAATTTATACATAAGGAAATTGATTAATTAAGTCATTTATAAGTTTATAAATTTTAATATAAAGTAATCAATAATCATCAAGAATACTTAAATTTTTTCATGTACTCAATAATAATAAACCACTATTTTAATTGATTTGCAAAAAAACAATTAATTTTTACTGTTTCTTGTCGAAATGAGTTGGTGATAAGTTTTAAATTATGCGAAATTTACCGAATAAAAAAAATTATCAATCTATATGATAAATAAAACCTATTAATAAAATATTTCATTTCATATAGTAAAGAAAACGTTTCCTTTATGTTCGAGAATTTAGTTTTATCCAAAAAATGAATCACCACCAGACCTCCCCTTGAAAATAACAAGAGCTCTAAAGTGTCACTTTTGACAGCTGACGAAACCCCCTCATAAATTTTCTAATTTAAATCTCTGCGACCGACAAAACTTGGTAACGCAAACTCCTCCTTCGCGGCGTCTTCTTCTCAATCTCCGACGTTTGCTGTTTGTCATTAAATAAAAATGCAAATTCGGCAAGAGAAGACGGCCGGGGGAGGAAAGTCTGCCGTGCTTGTTCTGAGAAATAAATTCATCCGTCCATAAAAGTGTATTTTCTCATCCGGCAGCAGCGAGCGAATGAACGAGACCGCCGGAGAGTAGAAAAGCCAGCTCGGGAAGAATGAAAGGGTTTAAGACGGCGATGCTCGCTGCCATGTAAATTAAATTCTCCGGTGATAAATTCTCCGAGTCGAAACGACGCGCGGAAATAAATTTATATATATCATTGTTGCAGGTGATTATCCGTCTGATTGAAACGGGTGTAATTAAAATCGCACCGGAATGAATGAAAATTATTCCTTTGGAGCGTCTCGCGGGCGGATTTAATCCTTTCCCGGCGCATTTATTACTTCAAAGGAGCCGAGATTGTGTGCGCGCCTCTCAAACGCTCAGCTTACCTTTATAATGAATTGCCTCATCTATTGATAATTCAGTGCGTCGTTCATACGATATTCCGTTTACGCGCGGCAAAAGCGGAAAATTTCTAATTGAAGCAAGTCTCGCGCGACAAGGAAACCGTTCGCGAGAATGGCTCGGAATTGAAAGGGAAAGGCCGGATTAGTGAGACGCAAATACTTACACTGAACCCTGAGGGTGATGTCCCTGAGGACAGGTTGTCCCACGCCGTTGCTGGCCATGCATTGATAGACTCCAGCCTGGTGTCTGTTGGCCTGCTCGATGGTGATGGAGAATCCTTCCACCGACTTCTCGCCAGATGGCAGCAAGTTGTTCTGAAACATTGAATAAAATTGTTTTATAGATTTTACTAATAACCTAATTTCCATATTTATATAAAATCAATCCGATTTGTCATACATTAATAAAGACCAAATTAAGCAAGTTCTAATCAAATTTATAAATTACCAATAAGCATTCACAATGCTGTAACCTAATTATTTTAAAATAATTATCATTCATGCCTATTAACTTCATTTTCAAACGGGAAATTAAATTTTTTTTTAACAAATTAAATTATCAATTTAATTTAAAACAATTATTAAATTATATTAACAAATATTTAATTTAGAAAAAAAATCAGTAAAAAGGAATTTTTATTAAAGCATGTGTTAATTTAAATTTTTAAGTATAATATTTATAAATATGTACAAAAATGTTAAACTTTCCTTAATTTAGATTTAATGTAACAAAAGTTTTTCAACATTATGGTTTTTATTTTTTATTTTTTGGTAAATTTCGCTTCTGAAACACGCCCTCATTTCGGCGCTTTTTACAGACATGCTTATATTTGCCAGTAAGTTTTCTGCTGGACTCTAAACTTGATAGCATTTTCGACGTGTTGATGTTTGTCGTGTATTTTATATTTATGTACGCGGGCGTGGAAATGAGGCTTTTTTTCTCCCAGCCCAAACACACACGTCATGCATCATTCATGGTCAGATATCAAGATGATCCCATTCCTTATCCCCCGTAGGATCATACAAAGCCAATATGGCCGGCTTGGCACCCAATTATCCCTGCACCCAGATGCAATATATCACCTGGCCGGCCCTTACGCCGCCACAAAACGAACGAGCTGCCCCCGACGCGCGAGGGACGTTCCAATTTATTTCCGACGCTGCTGTTTCGCCATCAAAAGCGGATAAATGCAAAACCCGCAGTTATATGGCGAGGGGTCGAAGAGCAAAGGCCATAACAGGTGACTTTTTTTCCAATGTGATTTTTAGCACTAATTCGAACAAAAGTTTCACACCTGCGCGCCTTTCCACGTGTCCGCCGCTGTCAGCAGTTTCATGCACCGGTTAACTCTTTCTCTCGGAAAATAATTTTTGCCAACTGCTGCCTACGCTCGTATAATTCAGTGAAAAGCCCTCCCGTTTGTTTTCGCTCACCTTTGCGCAGCAGTTGGTTTGAACTTCAGTGACATTTTCCTCCTCTCGTGTAATAAAATTCGCGTTGACATTAGAACATTCACCATTTTCAGCGCCCACGTTGCATATAAAATATTATTCATTTTCAGCAATTATTTGTATTACCAAAATATGAAAGTGGTAAAAGCCTCGGGCTCCAATTAATGAATAATTAAAACTCACCGATTTAATAGTGAAATAATTAAGCTTATGATAATGTCCCGTGGGTAGACGAGTTTCAAACTTCAATAATGTTCATTGAAATTTACTGGTGAAACAATAAATTTTTGTTATTTATCCTTTTAATTCTCTCCTAAATTCATTTTGAAATGGATCTTATTTGCAAATTGTGTATTTTTAATATTTGAAACTAAAATTGATTTCTACGTAATTGAAAAAATATTGCTTCTTTTACAAGAATTTTGAACTATTTTGAGACATTTTAAAATGAATGATAAAGGACTTTTTTAATATAATTTTTTTCATTTTGAAAAATAAATCCGGAAAATTTAGGCTTTTGAATTTTAATTATAAGATTGTTTTATTTCTTTGAATATTTGCCTCAGTAAATATTTGGAAACCAGAAATTTAACTTCTTGGGTGGAGGAATCAAATTATTTATTTTTACGGCCAAAAAATTTAATCCCCTCTTTCGCCCTTAATATTGATTAACTCATCCCTCTTCGTGTCTCCTTTCAACATATTTTTTCCAGTTCAAGTCATCCTAATTACCACTCTCTTGATGCTAAAAACGCTCTTCCGGCCTCAGCATCTTTCTCCTCCCGTTTTTTTTTTACATTTTATTTTCTCGTGTCGGCTGCGAACGCAATATCGACTGGGTGCCGCTTCTGCTTTTCATCTGCATGCTAAAAGAATTATTTCGCCACAAACTTTTAAGTGGGCGAGAAAAAGCGAGATGATAATTAGTTGCCGCCTTGGCGCCCTGGTGAGCGCCGGCGAAAAAAGAAGTGCCGCGCGCCTCGAAACATTAGGCAGAATAAATACGGCGAGAGAGACCGAGGGAGGCTGTTTTGAATACCAAAAAAGTCTTAAAACAAAGCGCACCGGCTCGGAGGGAATAAATTATAAAAAAAGCTCTCTCACACCCTACTAGCTTTTTCTTTTTTCCGTGCCGGACCTTCTATTTGATCTTCAGCTTTGGACACTGGATCTCGCGCGCACATGTGTGCTTTTGAGGGGACATCAACGATAATATTGCTTTTGGGACACGCGTACATCTGCTTCGAGTGTCAAATGGATTATTTTGGAGGACTGCAAACGGAAGATATTTCCTGGAAAAAATGCAAAATTCGTTTGAATTTTTCAATATATTTCTATTTTATTTATTAATTTTTATTGTTTCTAAACTTGTAATGCTTAAATACATTAAATTTGAAATTTGTCTAATTAAAATTGAATTAAATCTTAAATCAAATTTATAGATGCATTTATGATTTCTTTCATAATACCAAAGTATTCAGAATTTCGTTAGCTGTTTTTTTTTTTAAACTATCTTTGTTTGAGCTAATTTTGTTGTTGGTGTCTTTTTTTATCAAAATCGATTTCAATTGATTTTTTTGTATCAAATTTTATTCCAAACTATGCCAATTTGTAAAAATAAAATAATATATGTGTTGATATAAACGTCAAGAGCTCCATTGTCTCTCTGTCAACTTTTTCCATAAACATATATTTTATTTGAGATTATAGATATATGGAAGCAGATATATCGAAAAGGGCAAGAAATAAAAATGGACGTTCGCCCGCCGTTGACAGACTGTCAAAATTTTTAGCAATGCCGGTCTCTTTCTTTCTCTATTTTTTTTCCTATACACACAGGTGGATGAAAGGAAAAAAAGAGAGCAGGGAGGCGGCCCCACCTGGGTGTGGCAGCAACATTCCTCGGAATCCATTTGGGGCCTTCGAACGTATTGCGTTTTGACAGGTGCACATGGCGGCGCACCATGCAAAGGAAGAAAATAAAGTAATATGTACGCCTCTCACTCACATAACAAATATTTTAATAAAAAAGCTCTCTGCGCTGCCCCCAAGTGAGAAAGAGGGGCCTCGGAAAAGAGGCCCCTTTGATATACGTGATAGAATGCACTCGGAGTGATAAATTCTCATTAAGAACGAAATTTACACAAGCGGTTGGAAATTTGGAAATTACTATGCACGGCATGCACCGGCGCAGACCAAACAGCCTGTTATGTTGTGCCGAGTAATTAAATTTTATGCTACGTGAGCAACTAATAAAATGATTTCAAATTTTTGTAATTTTTTTAACTAAAAATTCAACTGGAATGAGCGTTTTAAACAAGTGTTGTGAAGAGATGAATCGAATTAGCAATTATTTTTAAACTGTAACAAAAAAAAGTGAGGTAAAGTTACTTTATCAATTTTTGATGGATGCTATATGTAATAAATTATGCAATTTTTTTATATAATTTTAAACAAATAAAATTTAATTTAAACAAATATTACATGGCTTATTTAAATTTTTTGTCTTTTGTTATTTAACTTAATTTAATAATTAACACATAAATTAAATGGTTTATTCAAAAAAAACCTTTTTTTAAATATGTTAATTTTATATGTGCATACTTTAAATATTTTGAACAAAATTAAATTAATAAATATACCAAATAATAAATTAATTCCAGTGGGTTATCATTTAACATGTATTTAAATCAACAAGATTGCTTTTTTTTCAATATTGTTGAACTCTATCAATTTAATGTAAAATAATTAAAATGAAAAAAAAAATTCAACGAGAAAAAATGATGGAATTGTATGCTTTGTGAAAATTTATTCATTATTGCTGTTCTAGATTGCAATATTATACAAGTTATAATTATCCAATTTTTTTATAAATTATTTCAATGGCTTTCTAAAACCAAATGTCCCACGCTATAGAAACAGAGATTTCAGGTGACAAAAGGGGATTTGAATTAATTTAGTTCCGTCCTCATAGCAAGTTTTATTTTTTCACTTTTTCACATCTGAAAAAAAGCCAAGCCTCGGTGTCAAAAGTTGGCCACCGAGTTTCGCGCATTGTCAACTGCGTGAGTGTGAGTTTTTTTTTTGCATATCCCCGAGCAGCCTTTTTGCTTCGCATTAACGCCGGCTTTGGAGCAAAATAAATAAAAACAGAGTGGCACCGAAAAGCGGCGAATTTCTGCAGCTTCCTGCACAGCCAGATGTTGCGAAATGAACATCGACGGGGGCGCGAATGAGGGAGAATAAAAAGAGAGAGAGAGCGGCAGAGTTGATGAAGTCGGCGGATCGCAAATGAATGCTGCCGCGATAAGGCCAAGTTATAAATGGGAGCGAAGGGGCTAAAAAGTTGGCCGGAATCACGATAACGTCCTCCTCGCCGTGTCTATTGACTTTCTTTCAAGATACTTTTCCGCAGATGAATGGCACCGAACGAAACTTTCTCTTCGACCCTTTTGTGCAGCGGCCAAAATTTTTGACGAAAATACACCAACAAAATCTCAATTTTCTTGCACTCTCTATTTCGCTTATCTCGCGGCAACACTCATTAATTCGCGCCCAGAAGAAGAAAAGTCCGCGCCAACTCCTTGGGCCTCCTTTTCTCAAACTTCCTCACTCCTTTGTTTGACGAGCAATTGTTAATTATTATTTCCGGGCGCTTCCTTAATTTAATCTTGCCAGCTTGAGACACAATTTGAAAGGGAATGAATTTGAGAGGAAACTTTAATTTACATTTATTAAGACAAGAACAAAGGAGACAAAAATATGAGGACCAACAATTTTGTCAATTACAAGATAAATTTCTAATAATGAAATTAATTTTCGTTATTTTTAATGTATTTTGTTGCATATTTTAAATTGCTGTTTTTTTAATTTAAAATTTAAAAATAAATCAATGAAAAAGGCTTTAAAAAATTAACAATTTTTGAAGAAAAAAACTGAATTTAAAATATTAATTAATCAATTAGAGTAATTGTAGAGTTTAATTTAATTGTCACTTAATAAAATAAAAAATTCAAAAAATAATATTTAAAAATTCCATTTAAAATAGATATAGAGGATAATAATTAAGGACACGAGTGGATAAATTATAAAAAAAATTAAATTCCAATAATTCCATTCTCAGCACCCCTTATAACCACGTTAATTAAGCCGCGCTTGTCGATGCAAGGGAGTGTCCCCGCTGTTAAATCGAGCGGGCAAAACCAACCCTGATTAGCCCCAGCCGCAATTTATTTTCCGGGCTTGCAGTCGTCAGAATAACGGCGCAGGAATTTGCACGAGAGGTGGACAGTGCGGGCTGCGAACTTACGAGGAGGCGGTGGCGTACGTGCATAATTCTGCGAGGGAGATAACGTGGCCCCCGAGTGCGAGGGTCAGACCCACAGACGCATTCCATTCCACGCGCGCGCGATATTCAATTTTGACATTGCCAGAAATTCGTGTGTGCGGTCCCCGTCCGCCGGATTAATGGTAATTCCAGGCGCTGGCCGCCGCTCTGCTCGCAGGAATGCATCTATGTGCGACGGCGGCACACGTGGGCACACATCACACGTGCCAAATTGGCGTAATTTAATTTTAGAACAAAAGTTGTAGATAATTACTTGCATTTAATTTCGTTTTGTAAATATGAAAGATATCAGGAAAGAAAATCAAGTGCAATTATATTATTTGCTTCCTCATTAATTAAAAATTTTTTAGTTCAAATTTTTAGGAAAATGCACAATATTAACCTCAATTCCATTTTATTTATTTTTTATTTATTTATTTATAATTTAATTTTAGAAAAAAAAATTGTAGCCAAATACTCAATTATATCAGGATTCAGAAGTTAGTTTTTATAATATTATCTTGAATTTAAAAAAATTTTGGTTATTGCTATTGAATCTAGGCACACATAAATCATGCATCACAGCTTGTTGAAAAAATTCAAAGAAATACATTACATCGACGACAGTTATTCCATTCAGATTCAAGTTGACTTTTGATTTTTATAAACAACAAGGTGAGATTTGTGAGCCCTTATTTTAATAATTTTTATTCTTTTTTATGTTCAAAAACATCAATTATAAGGGAAAATAATTTTTTTATGAATAAATTATTTTAATACATAAAATAAAACGTAAAACATAATGTAAATGCTATTTATATCAAGTTGTTTAATTAAAAAAGATACTGATAATTGTTTAATTTTTATTTATACATAATAAAAATATAATTAATGAATAATAAGAACAACGGTTTATCAAGAAAAATACTATTTTTCCGGTATTGAAACTCTTGTCTATAATTAATATTAATACTTTTGAATAGCAAAACTGCACACAACCATGTTCTAAATAAAAATTATTTTCTTCTACCGTAAAAAAATTTAAAAAGATTTTTGCTTAAACAATTAATGCCCAAATTATTTCACTATCTGAACAATTTGGTTTTCCCCATCGAGGAAATGAGGGAGATAGTCATCGCAAATTACAATTATATTTTGTCACATGTTCCTCGAAATCAAAATTGAAAAATTCCTCTCATAAACAAAAAAATAATGCAATTTTCCACTCGTCGCAGGCTTCGATAAGACGGTCACGCGTGGCGCACTGGAGAGACAATAAAACGAAAAATAATAAACCAAAAATGGTGGTGGCGCCCGAGCTTATCTCCACAGAGACACTAATATACTCGCCGCTTTTATTGGTCTCCACATTTATTTATCCGCGTCACAAACAAGGGTGAAAGGTTTTCATGGCCGACAGCACACACAATACACACACACACACGCGCCGCACGACAGCGCATTAGCGGCAACTAAAAGCAAACTAAAAGCAACAGGGTGTGTTATTGCTCTGTGCGGCGTGTGCCGCGAGCGCGCGATAAAAATCGTTTTTAAATGTCGAGTTTATTGAAAGTGCTCGCGGAAAACAGTCCAATTAAATATAACGCCTAATGTCTTTTTGAGCAAAAGCAATTTCAGACACTTTCCAAGGTTTTAAACGTGTAATTAAAAAACAATTTAATAATACAAAACGGTTCATGTTTTTCAATCCCAGAATGAGTGCAATTAAGTTTTGTAATTTTGTCTATTTTAGCTATGTTTTTTATTCTTTAATTGAAAAGGAGAACAAATTTCTGAAAAATTTTACTCTTAATGGCGACAAAAGGCTTCATCAAAGATCCAAAAGCAAGTGACGAACCTTGAGGGAAATCTCTTTATTCAGAATTCGTAATTCAGTATCTATTTTGTTCAAATTTAGAGATTTCTTTTACAAGATTTGCAAATTTTTTTGGCTGTAATAAGTGAAGAGTTTTGTTAAACCCTTGATTCAAATCAATAGTAATTGTTTGCCAGAGGTGTTGCCGTTTCTTCAAATTTTGTAATTTTTCTCATTTGACTTTGATTTGCGAAGAATAAACAACAATAAATAAAAATTCCAACGTCAGTCATGAAGTTTTCTGAAGTTGAACGTTTTAAATTTTTTAAAAAATGAAGAATACAAAATATTTTGTACAGGGGCATTTACGACAAATTATTTTATTTGCTTTTTTTAATGAACCGAAAAAACCTCTAAAATCCATTTTTAATTCTTGTTTTGAAAGAAAACCTTCAAATTTTGCACGATATTATAAGGAAGAACCAATGGGATGCAAATAATTTTTTTTTTTAATTTAATATTATTATATAATTTAAAAAACTTTTATATGTGTAAATTTTAATGTTAATTTTGTCAAAATTTATACAAATCAACACATTTGAGGACCTTTTTCTCACGCTTTTTAAATGAATTATTTTCAGAGGTACAAATAAATGCGAATCCAAGCGTCAAAGCGAAAATTGAAAAATTCTCTCGGCGCTGCAAATCGCGTTCCCCGCGGACTAATTCGATCTGGCAATTGCAAGTGTGGCAGGAAGTGAGAGCAAACAGCCAGGCACTCGCCGACCGCATGAATAAATGGCATACATGGGTGCGCTCAGCAATTTTGCGCTCGCGCTCGCGCTCGCGATCACTGGCAACAGTGCGCTCGCGCTCTGCGCTCGCGCTCAAGATTTTGAAAATGTTGCGCTCGCGCTCTGCGCTCGCGCTCAATTTTTTAAAAAGTCTTGCGCTCACGCTTTGCGCTCAAAAATATTTTTACCCGAAGAAAAAGTGCGACTTTTTAGACAATTTTTTAATATAAAAAAAATCCATCGTCAATTGAAAATGATAAAGTTGAAGTTAAATTACCAAAATTGGGATCAGTTTTGAAGTTTTTGGTATAAAAACACTGTTTTTCGTTACAATTTATGATCAAATTTGGGAGTTTTTACTTTTGGTTTGAGCGCAAAATGAGCGCAATTGAGCGCTGCGCTCAGCGACCAATGCGCTCGCGCTCTGCGCTCGCGCTCACGATTTTGAAAATCGTGCGATCGCGCTCTGCGCTCGCGCTCATGAGCGCAGAGCGCGAGCGCAGATCGCAGAGCGCAAAGTGCGCTCTGCCCATGTATGATAAATGGTAATTTAAAATAAATTTCACGCGAGATTGCCACGAGGTCGACAGACATGCACACACCCCGCGCCGGTGTAAAATAATTTAAAAACTAATGCATACGTGATTAGAGCGCCGAGAGTGCCGGCGGCTGGATTTTGCAACCACTCTCGCATCCAATTCTGCGGTGCGCCCTCTCATTTCAATTATCATTATGTATTTCCACGTGAAAATTTTGATATTTTGGCGCATATCATCATTTTTACGGCTTCATTAGCGGCAAGTAGCGGAAATTAAATTTTTATCGCGCGCGGCACCGCCGGTGAGGGTTAAACCGGTAATGATGCTTGTTTGCTCTCACCTTTCTGGACCAGGTGATGATGGGCACAGGATTTCCTGATGCTTTGCACTCCAGAGTCACCGTCGAGCCCTTTTTCACTTCCAGGCCGCCGTTGTTGGAAACCTTCTGGATGCGCGGAGGAACTGCAAAAAAAAATTAGAAATTGAAGAACCAGAAAGGAAAAAATACATAGTGGATTTCATATTTATATCTAACATTTGAACGCCGAGAAGAACTCAACAGCAATAATCAATCATCATCAGCAATAATTCAAATTGAAGATTTAAATATTTCTTTGAGTACACTAACCACACCGAGTCAGAGACTATTCATAGACCTAGTTTTGATTCCAATGTGATTTGTTTCATTTAATGTAGAAGGATCTTAAATATAAAATAATTTTTTTACAATCACTTTCATATTGGTGTAAAATAATTTGATATCAAATCTGTAAATCAGAGGAACGCGTTTTAATAAATGAAACAAAATTCCATTTAAAAATTATTTACTGTAAATAATTATAATCCGTAATAAAGAAATTAGAAAATGTTATCAAGTGTTTAGATTAAATTTAAGTTTAACTATTTTATTAAACAAAGTTTTGTTTTAAATGTTTCAAATGAAATAATTTATTTGAAGTAAAATAAATCTTATAACACTTAAAATAAAGATTAGCGCTGTGCAGCAAATCAAAATTGTAAATGTACAATATGTGGTTAACAAATTGGAATGTATCACCTATTCGAATGTAAAAGATTGACTTAACACTAATGCAGCTTCCATGAAAGTATATTGCAATTACTACCTCTTCAGTTTTTATAATTATTGTATGCATATAAACAATTTATATTCATATCTGTGTCTGTATACCGTTGGTAATTAATAAAAAGATAAAGCAAAATGAAGATTTTCTCAGCAGATTTATTCCAAAGTTTCCAAACCTTACCCAATGTCGATCCCCAACAGATAATTTTAATTTAATGGATTTGCTCGAGCGAGTTCCGTCGGCGGCTCTTTAACAGCTGCGTGCGTTTAGCGCAGAGAGTTGTTCTGATTTATGGCGGGAAAATTTGCTCAACTGACGGAAAAATTAATTGTTAAGTCAAGTAAAACGCGTACATTACGAAATATATATATTCGTACAAAAGAGAAAAAAAAACGCGGGCTGGAAAGGAAAACTGTCGGGAGCAGGCACACTGAATGCTTATTTGAATGGAGAGGGAGCCCGTTTTGTTTCCTCGGTTGAACGAAATTCAATGCAGTAAGAATTATATTCTTTTAAAAGCTCGACTTCTTTTTATCCGCGCGCAACTTTCTTTCTTTCTTTCCCTTTTCTTTTCCAGAGCTCGCAATCTGCGCGCATTAATAAAACTTAGAGAGCAAAAAGCTGTGCAGCTTTCAGCGGAAAACTCGCTTTGGAAAACTCCTTCAATCACAATGAGCGTGTACTCGAGTGCGAAACCGCGCGTAAGAGAAACTGTTAAACCTCGCAAATTTAACCTTTTTTCTTTGAGGAAAAGACAAACAGGCGAAAAAATCTTCTGGATGCTTCTCTAGGGAAAATTGTATTATTGATTGTAAAAGAGAGGAGGAGAAATCAACATAACATTTAATTTCCAGGGATGGGGAGATCAAATAACAAATGTCCTGTATAAATTTTTCCTACATTTTGTACTAAAATATGCAATTATACGTTTAACGACTCCTTATTGATAAATTTCGCCCCGAAATTTTTCAACCGCGATTTTTTTATGGATGCATGGCCACACTAGAAGATGATTCCATTAAAGAAAATATAGGGTCCATGGGATTAATCTTAAGAATTGATTTTTTGAAATTTAACATTGCGTCTTATGGGAATTTTTACTTTTTTCCAATTTAAAAAAAATCGGCCCGAAATTTTTTGCTCAAAATTTAAAAAATAACATATTAAATACTGCTGAACAAAACTACAAGATAAAATTTGGGTGTTCACGGACGTAAAAGTTAATCATATCCTAACATTACTCTTATGGAAAAATTGCTAGAGCCTCGCTGTATATCAATAAGGAGCCCTTAATATTCAACATAAGAAAATCATCATCTGGGGTCTAATTGGATACTGGCAGAAAAGCAATTCGTTCGACTTTTTCTTCCTCTTTTCTTCAGCTTTCCAAAGAAAGAGGAAGCAATTTCTTGAGGCTTAATTAAAGCGTATCCTCTTTTATAATACAGGCTTTTTCTTTAGCAAGAAGGTACGTATTTAAATATGGTGTTCAGTAAAAAGTGGAACTATGTGAAAAACAGGGTAGTATATATAGTAATAATAATAATAATGAAACATGCAGAGTGAGCTGCTTATAATTGAGAAAAGATAGAGAGGCGTTCTTTCTTTCTCTCTCTTTGTTGTCAGTGAGAATTAGGAGGCAGAGGCGCCGTCACCAGCTGATAAGCTCTTCTCTCTCTTTCTCTCCCTCTCTCTCTCTGTTTGTTTATGAGCCCAGCAGCCAGCCGTGGAGCGAGTAAATGGAGAGCTTCTTACCAAAGATGCATCATTCTTCTTCAAAAGACGAATGAGCCGCCCCTCTATATACACCGCTGAGCCTTTCCTCCCTTGCAGCGCAGATACTGTCGAAAAGTAATTAAGAATTCGCGCAGCCCGCCTTAATTCGCACCCATAAATTGTCGCATTATTCCGTCTTGTGAATACACACCCTGCCTGCTTTACTTCCTTCCTCTTTCGCCCCCCGAGATTTCTTAATTAAAATTTGATTTAGCCCAAAAGTTTGCTTGGCCGAGATGAGAGAGATCAAAGGACGAGCGAGAGGCGCACGCTGGGTTACTTCCTGCCAAAATTTTGAACGACGACACACGAGTTGGAGATTAAGTTTTTTTTTAAAGAAACAAAAGGCTCGCTCATTTCGTTTTGCAAACTCATCACGCTATTAATGAAATGAGTGAAAATTAACACAGCTTTAGTCGCAAAGTTTCTCTAAAGCGAGATGTTTTACCTTTTATATATAAAAAAAAAATTACAGCAAAAGGTTAAAAAGCAAAAGTTTGTTTCACAAAACAAGTGAAAAGTGTTATATGGAAAATAAAATGAAACACTGAAGAAAATAAATCGAGCCTTTCAGTTTCTGGTAATAGAAGCTCTCAATTTTAAAATTTAATTTAATAAAAAATGTAACTTTGAATAATTTCTCAAGTAAAATTGTTAATTTGAAAGAAAAATATCCTTAAAAAAATTGGTTTTTGTAATAATAATCCTTGTCAAAATGATTCCACAGCTCATAAATTATGGCTGGTGGCCGAAAAATGTAGAGCAGGATATTTTTCTGTCTTAAGTCGTTAAACAATTAACAATTCACAAAACGCATCAAAGAAAATCCGATTTTAAATTCAAGTCAATCAAAATCAACCTTTAATCGTGAAATTCTATTACGTAATTTAAAAAAAATATATCTTATTTCAATTAAATAATAATTTATGTATTTTAAATATTTCTTATAATATATCAGGGACAGCATTTGCACAAAAAAATAAGAGGTAATTAAGTCATAAAGGAGCCAAAATTTCATTATTGTTTTATTTTGCACACAATACATTAAAAATAACTAAAATAATGTTTATTACTTTTCTATTTACCAAATTACCATCAATAATTTAAAATTGCATAGACCTTTAAATGTTTTGAAATTTTGCACAATTGTGAAAATTGTTGCACACAATTTCTCTTTAGTTGCTTGTGCGTTTGATAAGAGATAAACTCGAACAGACGTGAGAGCGTTTGTGTATCAAATTTATGACACACACATCTCATATTATCCTTTTGACTGGCAAGAGAGTCTCGATTACGTCTGCCGGCTTTGTCTGAAAGGGTGATAATGACGAGAAATATTCAGTTTCTCGTCGGCGCACAAGTGCATGTGTTCGGAGCTGCTTGGCACATTAGACGGCGGCGGCTAATTCCGACGAATCGACGAACATCACGTCTTCGAGGTTCCATAAAACGCGGCGTTGATAACCGCTTAATTGGTGGGTCTGATTTCGGTCTGGAGGGATTAATTATTATCTCCTGCGCGTGCGAGCGAGCGAGACATGGTAATTTTGTGTCGTGTTCAAAAGGGACCTCAAAGAATCCGAATACAAGCCCGCGGCCTTAATTTATGCCCGCGCGTAATTTCGGAATTTACAAAAGGGAGCTGCGCTGATAAGGTCAAAGTTGGATTACGACGCGATAATGCTGATGGCTAAATAGCCTGCCGAGCGCTGCCGAAACTTTGCTCATAACTTGAATAATTCTATAAAACGCACACGCTAATAACGTAATACGCCCTGCTCTCGGATCCACACACACACACAAATGCCGACGAGAGAAAAGTTTGCCTTTGATGTCGACATTTCTCTCTCGGCGTCGTGCCCCACATCGAGTTTTAATAAAGTATTTTTGGAACTCTCTGCGAAAGAAGTGAAAGTCGGAGAGGAATTTGCAAGTCCGAATAATCTGGAAATTTATGATGCGGCACCGAAGGGATTTGGAAAAGTTTCCGGAAAAGCATTGTTCAACCTCATTGAAAAGTTATTATGGGGAAGAAGCTAGGCTGCGAGCGATTCGAATTCCCTGTCAAAGTTTTATTTATTCGAATTGCAAAGTAACCTGACTTTTATATTTGCGAATTTTCGGTAGTAACGTCAGAAAATATGTTTGATATGAATTGCTGTTTTTCCAATTTTTTTCCTATCTTACAATAAGTGGTAAATGGAACGACTTTTGCAAAAGGTTTTGGAATATTATCAGTTTTGATATTCCAACTTAAAATTCTTTTTTTTTCTAATTTCAAGTCCATTTTTCTTGGTTCTATTTTTAATTGGACAAACAGTTAGAACTGGAAAAGGCAAGACTAAAGAACGATTAAAGCCCTTTTAAATTAATACATTGTGCAAATTTCCTTCCTCAAATGCAAAATATTACAGAATAAAATACAAAAAATGAAATTTCGATGCATTCAAACTTGTTTAAACTATTTTTGCAGTCTAAGATATGCATTATTATTGTGGTTTATTTGTCCATATTTTTACAAATACATTCGATTGTTGAAAACAATTGATTTAAAAAAAGGAATTGTTGGACAAAAAGGCACCACCACCACTACAAGAATTT